CAATCCCACTATAGAATGTGACATTGGAAATGGCTGTCCTGATTACTTTGAGACATCACTGCGAACACAAACAGTCACATACACATACACATACACAGACAGACACACTCACAGGCATCGAAGTTGACATATGACCGTAACTAACCAAACCACTTTATACTTGATCAAAGAGGCCAGATGTAGAGTGGATTTGTCGGTGAGTTTTCTTGATTTGTTAGCTTCAATTTGGTTGTGGCGATGGTACCTTCGATGCTCTGATGATGTTCGTCACATGACGGACGAAAGATTAACATCTTTCCACCGGAATCGAATGAAATTGCTTTGGAAACAGCGTCAGTAAAGCCAATCTACAGCTTGTCAAGAGGAATTTGTCGCAGGTCGTCTTGTGGTGGAACCGACCTTCGACACTTCCACTCGAAATGTAAGTAAGCTCAACAATTATGAAACAAGAAATTCCTCAAAACCCAACTTTGCTTCGCATTTTTGGGCGGTTGCCGGCCAAACTGGCGAGATTGCCGTCGGGCGTCTTCTCTCTTTGTCGGTATGCATGACCAGACGACGTCATGTGTCTTTTTTGTTTACTGTCTCCAGCCAGGCCATCCTCAGCCTCCGACCGAAGGATCTGCCGATCGAGGACAACGACTGGGTCGAGACGATCGTGGAGAAGACGTGGAGGGATCGTCAGTTTTTCGTCTCTTTCAACAAACGGGAGGCTCGAAGAAAATGCATCGGTAAGTCATCCGTGACCAATTTAGCCCATTTGAGGCGGTGCGATTGAGAAGGAGCTCTCTCGACCGGACTCGGGCTCCGCTCCTCGTCGACGCAGATCCCGTCACGGCGTCTGCGTCTTGCAGAGAAGGTGGAAAGTGATGCGATTTCGTTCATTTTGTAGCCGAACATGTGCACAATCCCATTCTCCCGTCAAACTGATCTCCCTCTCCCTTTCCGCCTGCAAATTGCCTCCTTTGTTCTACTTTGCTCTTGTTCTTTTCTTCTTTATCTACCTTTTTTGCATACTTTTGGGCAATCCTGTTGCGTTTTTCGCTCGTCTGCATTCAACGAAATACGATATTGAGGTTGCCGAGGTCGCTTGAGGTGAGGTAAATAGTGACAGTTGCACTTTTCCCTAATCCAATGAATACAAGGCTTCATGGGCAAGTTTATTAAGTGGCTGTCTTGTCAAAACTGGACTAGTCTCATCATCATCATCATCATTGTTGGGGAGACTTTCATTTCGTATAAAATTGCGTGAAGAAGAGATTCGTTGGTCCATCTCAACAGATGATGACGAATGAATCTCGTTGTACTGCAACCGTTTTGCTTTAATAAGCTGTTCATGTCGACGCAGACCACGAGACTTCCTCGTTTCCGGTGAAA